GAGAACTGTTTTAATTTTCCCTAATTATAACCATCATTGATACCGTCAGCAAAAAGCGATAAAAAATGCAATTCCACAAATACTTTTTCTTTGGTCTTACCCTAAATGCCATAAAAAGTGACAATTTTTTCTCTTCAAAACCATGGGCAAAAAGAAAAAAAGGAAAGAGAGTATAGAAGGAACCACTAAAGTTTAATTACTTCTAGCGGCAATAATAGAGTACAGAAGAAGAAAAGAGAAGGACAAAAAACAATAGGAAAAATTCAAGTTTTTTCTTCGGGTCTCTCAGGGAAACTAGAAGTTAAGTTTGGCTACTTTGAGGGAATGAACCCCATAGCGTTTTCTGATTCATTTTGGTTTTTTTTCATCTTTTATTTTTTGTAAAAAACAAAATTTTACACTACATAAGTAACTTTGTTTTCAAAGGTAAAGTTCTTCTTGACGTACTTTAAAACTATTATTGCGCCGCCAAACTACTCTCTGCCACGAATATTCATATAAACTACTTTTGCATATTAGTGAAGTAATTCACAAATTCAATAATTTCAAATGATTTTTTAAACATCATCAATAATTTTACAATTATGGTTATTTTTTGTAAAAACTGTGCTCCGTAATGCGTTAATCATGCGGTGGTTGAATCGTTTCATTTCAACAAAAATCCTTTTTAAGTTTAACTGTTATATAACTCCGATAATACTCATCTAAAATTTAGAGCTCACTATCAATGAACAGAGGATCTCTTCTTAGCCTAATCCTACAACTGCTTACTGCACTAGCAGTCAATGCTCAGCAGAATCTATTTCCATTGTCGATTGGTCAAATAAACCCACAACAAGGGCTCTTCCCATACTGGAATATTTATCAACCTCAGCAACCCACCTTCATAAACGCTGAAAGAAGACTTAAAAAATGTTGTGCTAAGCTGAATGAGGCAGACGAAGCGTGCAGAAGCCAATATTGTGGCTTTGAAGCTCTGAGCTCTCAAACGGTAAGTTAATTTCTCTTGCATAATTGCTGCAAATGTAGATGTAACACTTACATTTTCTCTAATCCAATGATGCTCAAGCATCACTTGAAACTTTCACGACGTTCCACGCTACCTGACCGTTACCAGCCTTCTTAAAAAAAAATAATAACAATAATACATTTAAAAATCGGCTGAATGAATTAAAAACAACAACGAAGAGCAT